ATGCTGCCCCCAGCGCCTTCCATGAATGTGTGGTCGCATCCATGCAGACACAGCGCTAGCGCCTATTCTTTCGCCATGTACGACACCACCAAACCAGGGCAGCCCATTCAGGTGTTCAGCCCCGAGCCCCTTATTGAGATTCTTCCCATGCCTTGTATGTGCTTGCATGCAGGCAGCGCCACCAGCGCCTATTCATTCGCCATGTACGACACCACCGACCCAGAGCAGCCCATTCTGGTGTTGTTGAGTCAACGCATCTATTCTCATGTGCCCCCCCTGCTTTCCATGCGTGTGTGTGGGGTCACATGGCATGCAGGCAACGCCTCCAGCGCCTATTCATTCGCAATGTACGACACCACCGACCCAGGGCAGACCATTCAGGTGTTCGGCCCGAAGCCGCTGCGAGTGGAGAGTGGGACGCTCTACCCCTTTGTGCTGCCTGGGCCTGTGGTGCCACAACCCAAGCACATTGAACCCTTCCCTGAAGACTTGCTGGGCCGCAAGTATGAGGCACACTGCAGGTGAGGCAAGGGCACCACAGGTGAGACAGGGAGCCTCCACGGCTGGAGAGTGGGACGCTCTACCCCTATGTGCTGCCCGGGCCTGTGGTGCCTCATCCCAAGCACATTGAGCCTTTCCCTGACAACTTGCTCGGTCGCAAATACGAGGCACACTGTTGGTGAGAAATGGAAGATTTTCTGGGGTTGGGTGCCCTTGCTAGTATGTGTCGGTGTCTCGTTTTCGTTTTGCTTCATGCTGCCTGCCTGAGCCCTGTGCCGTGTACGCATTATTACTGTCTCCTTCACTTTTGTCTTGTTGTGCCTTGTGTTGAAGTTTGAATCGCGATATGTATGTGAACATTTTTATATCCTAGTTTAGTGTAGTTGTAGTTTTTATAGGCTGGGTGTTAAGCCAACATCTCAACCATACCTGAATGTAGTCAATCGAATTCCGCAACCTACCAATTGGGGATTTCAGCCGAATCTTACGAATCGCCACTGAATCCTTCATCCGTTTTTCTTTCATATTTTGATGTACTAAGCCTTGACCTCATCCTTTAATGAATCAAATTTATCTGAAATTCCCTCATGGTATCAGAGCCAGCCAATCAACCACAGAGAATATATCCGTGCTCCTTAGTGGAGCCTCTCGATGTCTCCCATGTGGTGTTGATTCTGTCCAACACCACATCCTCGTTAGCCGGAATTTTTCTAGCGCCAATTTTGTCGTCGTGAATTTCCTCCGATCTTATCATGCAGCGCACTTTGACCTCATTGGTTACCGTCGGATAGTTTCCTTTTCTTGCGGTGAAATCTCCACATAGTGACGGCACACTGGCTTCTCGTGCTACCCTATTCTGCCACAACGCCACATCGGCATCTCTTTCCTTTCCAACATTGGCTGCTCTCATTCACACAAATGCCACTGTCCAGGTTCTAAGGCGTCTACCCCAAGTGGGACCTAGTATACGCCCCCATGCTGCTGGGCCTGCTCGTGCTGCTGGTGGCTGTACTTCTCTCCACCATGATTGCCGTGCTCGCATGGAAGCAAGTTTTGAGGCGCCTCAAAAGCCATGATTAAAGTTTGTCTCATTGCATGAAGCATGTATGTCCCTCCTCTCCTCCACACGAATTCCCAACATCCCAATGCGCAGTTTTGAGGGACCCTACCCCAAGTGGGACCTGATATACGCCCCAATGCTGCTGGGCCTGCTGGTGCTGCTGGTGGCAGTACTGCTCTCCACCATGATTGCTGTCCTTGCATGGAAGAAGAAGAATCTAGAAGAGGCTATGAAGGAGATTCAGCTGTGCACGGCGATTCTGGAGAGAGCTGAGCGGTCCAAGAGTGAGGCGGTGGCGAATGTGTCCCACGAGCTTCGCACGCCAATCATTGGCATGATTGGTGAGTGAAGGGCATGATGGGTGAGTGAGTGAGGGCATGATGGGTGAGTGAGTGAGGGCATGATGGGTGAGTGAGTGAGGGCATGATGGGTGAATGAGTGAACGCATGATGGGTGAGTGAGTGAGCGCATGATGGGTGAGTGAGTGAGGGCATGATGGGTGAGTGAGTGAGGGCATGATGGGTGAGCGAGTGAGGGCATGATGGGTGAGTGAGTGAGGGCATGATGGGTGAGTGAGTGAGGGCATGATGGGTGAGTGAGGGCATGGAGGCGATTGAGAGATTATGGGATGATGGGTGGGTAAGAGCAAGGCATGGTGGTTGCATGTGTGACATGTGTGGGTGAGAGCATAGCATGGTGGATTAGAGCACGCATGCATGTATAGTGCCATTAGTTAACCAATCTCCAACTGTTCAACTGCGTTGATTGGAAAATGGTTTCCTTTCCGCACATATTCGCTCGCACCCGTTTGCTGCACTTTCCCTTTAAACAAGCCACACACTTGGTCCTTCCCCCCACAGGCATGATAGAGGAGCTGTTGGACTCGAATTTGGAGGAGAGGCAGCATGAGGACCTGATTGATGCGAGGGCGTGTGCGGGAGAGACGATAGACCTCATCAACTAAGTGTTGGAACTTGGACCTCGCCAAGCTGTAGGCCCCTCTCCTCTCCTCTTCCGTCTCCCCTCCCCTCCCTGCCCGCCCCTCTATCGTGTTGGATTGGACCTCGCCAAGCTGCCAGTCCCCCCCTTCCCGCCTCCCCCTCCCCTCCTCCCGGACCTCCCCTCCCACACAGGCATGATAGAGGAGCTGCTAGACTCATCATTGCAGGAGAGGCAGCACGCAGACCTGGTTGATGCGAGGGCGTGTGCGGACGAGACGATAGACCTCATCAACCGAGTGTTGGACCTCGCCAAGCTGCAGGCAAGCAAACTGCAGCTTGAGACTCTCCCGTGCTGCCTGCACCGAATTGTCCGTGAGGCGACTGAAGTTGGTGCACCGACAGTAACAGGAAAAGAGCAAGGTACGAATGAATATGTGATTGTGCTAGACCTCGCCAAGCTGCTGCCTCCGACGGATCGCCCGGGAGGCCACCACTGCAGTTGATGAACCGATAGCTCCAGGGAAGAACCTTCAAGGTACACATACGCGTGGTACTAAGTATAAGTGCGTTACTTAGGCTTATGGTTGGTTATATTATACTTAGTAGCGCACTATTCTCCTTAGTTTTCCTGTGCTGCCTGTGCCGCACCGTCTGCAAGGTTACTGCACTTGATGAACCGTTTGTACCAGAGATTGGCTTACAAGTTCAAATGTGCAATTGGATTGCTCTTTCCCATGACTTCCAAATTTCACATTTATCGTGCTTGTTTTTCCTTTCCTTTCGTCCCTCAATACAGTGACATTTCATGTATGAGAGCGTTCCGGAAACTCTAATTGGTGATCCAAGTCGGCTCCTGCAAGTCATGGCTGAACTTGTTGGTGAATGGTTAGCTACACAAGTGTAAGGTGTTGCATTAAACAGCTGGCTATGCATTGCAATAGGCCGTGGGAATCTCTTGTTGCATTCGCTACACAAGTTTAAGGTTTATTTGTTTTCCAGTTATTGTTGCACACGCAGATTGGTTTCCATTACATTATTGTACAGTTGTTGTCGGAAGCAAATGCGATCAACACACAAATGCGAAACTGATTGTAGAATTCTAACAAGAAAATTGACTTCACCAAAACAAGCACTTGGGAATTGCTATCACCCCTCCCCCTCACCCTCCACCCCACCCTCCTCTCCCCACCCCTTCTTCCCTCCCCTCCCGGCACACAATTGTTTCCTGCAGCCAGTGCTGTGAACAACACAGCAACTGGCCACATAGCCATCAGCCTCTGGTGCATCCCTCCTCAACACTCTGCAACAAGGCCTCCTCCTTTAGAGACGCAAGCCTCCTCTGAGCCCCCGCCCGCATCCTCAGCATGGCTCCAGCTGGACAGCTGTGTGCGGCGCTTTCCGCCTCCCACCTGCCTCCTCTGCCTCCCTTTGTGCCGCCCAGCCAGCAAAAGGGGGCCTGTGGGCAACGGTGCGAGGCGGGAGTGTGGGGGGGCGTGCGGCAGAGACAACGTGTGCAGTGTAGTTGAGAGGCAGGGTGGGGATGGGCGTGTTGGTGCAACCCTACGGTTTGCACTCGGCTTGTTGTCCGTGTGCGTGAATGTGTGTGTGTATGGAATGGTATGAGGGCATGGGATAATATATATTTCATGCTTATAATTGTGTGTGAATGTTGAGTCATGATGTCGAGTGTGTGTGTCGAGTCAATAGCGAGTTATCGCTAGACGCGTGTTACGCGGTCGTTTGTGTCTCGCGCGCGGTTTCTATTTTGTCGTGCGCGGTTTCTATTTTGTCCTGTATCGAACGTTCGGTGTGTCGCAGGTGTGTGCAGCAGACCCATCAAGAACTCAAGGATGAGTTTGTGATGAAGAGCCCGAGCCTTGGTGTCAAGCCTCAAGTGATTTCGAAGCTCGCCAAAAAGGGTACACCTCAAGATATTGAAGATAGTTACATTACTTTGTGTAGTGTAACATTTCACTTGGTGTAGGCCCTAGTGAAGGGTAGTTTCGAGACCCTTCGTGGTTGGGGACAGTGTGGCACTGTTCCACATCACTGTACCTCGGCTCTTGGGGTTTGTAGGAGCTGGGAGTCATTCCCAACTCGTAACTCTTCCTATCTTGTGTTCTAAGACTATAGTGGCTGCCATAGTACCGTTCGTTCAAACCGACGCTGTGTCGTCAATTCTTTATCAAATCGTGCAATCTAAACTGCTAATTGTAGATGACGTGAAGACGCTCCAGATCCAATTTGAATCAAGTCATTTGCAGCTGTGACCAGAACGCTATCAACGTTTGAAGCCGCTGTGCAAAAATCCGTCTGTGCTCTCTATCTTTCGTTTTAGGCACATTCAAGCCTATTGTGACTATAACAAGTGGTATCAGAGCCCCTTGGAGCAGTTTCGACAATGTCTGGACCTGAGGAAAGGGGTGGCAGAGGTGCTGGTGGCAGTGGAGAAGCTCAAGCTCAAGGCCAACCCCGTGATTCAGCCATGGCGCCCATGCAACCAAGTCTTGGCCCACCTAGGGATGAGCCTAGGGTGTTTGGGCTTGACAAGTTCAACGGTGACAACTTTGCTGAATGGTCATTCAAGATGGAGAACATCTTTGACCACTATGACCTGCTGGAGGTGATGGAAGGAACGGAGAAGCGCACCGAGAACGACCCGGAGAAGAGCCCGTGGGTGCGGAAGAGCGCACAAGGCTATCTCTTACTTGGGCAAGCGTTGGGGAGCAGTCAGATCCGTCACATCAAGCCATTCCAGCGTGAACCAGAGAAAGGACCAAAGGCATGGGCTGCTCTCAAGGGTGTACATGCTCCTGCAACAGCGGCGGTAGCGGTGGTGTTGGAACGGCAAATGGCGGCACTACGAATTGAAGAAGACGAAGCGGTTGAAGAAGGGGTGCAGAATTTCTTCGACTTGTTGACGCGGCTTGAGGGAGCTGATTTGAACTACAGTGAGCTCCAAAAGAAGACCAAGTTGCTGGCCTTACTCCCAGAGTCATGGTCCTCGCTCATCATCAACCTTAATCGCGACTTGCCCCGCCTCTCGCTTGAAGACGTGAAGCGAGCTATCCTTCAAGAGGATTTCCGCCGCCGTGAGTTGGCGAGTGCGGATGGCGCTGGGGCAGCGAGCATCGGCCGTGGATATGGTCGAGGAAGAGGCAGAGGACGAGGGGGAGGAAGGTTTGGTGGCAGCAACTTCGGCGGAGGCCGCAGGAGTGGCGGTTACGGCAGCGACGACAAGAGCTACGGACGCGGTCGCGGCCGATTCGACGGCGAGTGTCACTATTGCCACAAGAGCGGACACATGTGGCGCGACTGCTACAAACTCCCTGATGGTTGGACCCCTGCTCAAGGCCAAGAGGGTAGAGGAGCAGGAGGAGGGAGAGGACGAGGCCGTGGAGGCCGTGGCGGTCGCGGTGGCGGAGCTGCAAACATGAAGAGCGGAGACAACGACAAGGACCCGAGCGACGATCGATACCCGGGTCTATTCTACTTCGTGTCGACGCAAGTACCGGCTGGTCCAGAGAAGGATGAAGGCTTTGAGGAGCCAGCAGCTGTGGGGAAGGTGACCCTACACCCCCTGGACTATTGGGTGATTGATAGTGGCGCTACCTATAGCATGACACCTCGCTCGGACTTGCTCACCGAACTCGAGCCGTCACCGGTGAAGCATGTCACATCAGCTTTGGGGCAGCGAGCAGAGGTGAAAGGCATGGGCAAGGCCATGTTCAAGGGTGCTGATGGGAAGATGGTGGGCCTCAAGAACGTGCTTTGGGTGCCCAGCCTTGCTGCAAACCTGATTTCCGTGCGGCGGTTGGCAAAGGCCGGCATGGACACGAACTCGAAGGGAGCCAAGACCTACACCGCAAGGCTTGGCGATCGAATTCTTTGGGACCTTCATGAGGACAGGGATGTCTACAACGAGATGTGGCAGATCCCAGTGGTCCCTATGCCTAAGGAGAGGCAAGTGGCAGCAAGCATCAGCACCAAGGATGGAGCGGTCGGTAGCGACGATGGCGCGAACGGTCGCGCTAAGGAGAATGAGCTCAAGAAGAGCAAACCTGGAGGGACCAGCAAGTTTAGTGAACCTAAGGAGAGTGGTGCAGCAACCAAGGAGAAGCAAAAGGGTGAGGAGAACCCAGAGGCAGCAGCGGAGGAGGACTACGGAGAGAGTATGTGGGGCGCTATTGCGAGCGCGGCATTCTCCAATCCAACTTCGGCTACGGGGGAGTGTGATTGGCTCACCTTGCATCGGCGCATGGGGCATGTGGCCCTGCCCATCTTGCAGCAGCTAGTGAAGAATGAGATGGTTGCTGGCATACGTGTGAAGGGGGAGCCCGATGAGGTGCTTGGCTGCCCGACGTGCATTCAAGCCAAGTTCACCCGGTTTCCGTTCCCTAGTTCGGAGGCAACGGCAAAGGCACCGCTTGATGAGGTGGTGATGGACGTGGTGGGCCCCCTGAAGCTTGGAGCTGCTGGAGCTGAGTATTTTCTCACCATTGTCGACGTCTACACCCGCATGACTTGGGTGTACGTGCTGGCCAAGAAGAGCGACGTGGCTGAAACGTTGAAGACGGATTGGTTTCCGATGGTGGAGCGGCAACAAGACCGTCTAGTCAAGTCAATCCGCACCGATCGAGGGGGAGAGTTCTTGAGCAAGGAGTTTGGGTTGTGGCTGAAGAAGAATGGTATTCGGCACTCCCTCACCATGCCATACTCCCCTGCAATGAACGGCATCGCCGAGCGAGCGAACCGCACAATCACGGAGGCGGCACGCGGGTTGCTCATTGAAGCCGGGCTACCCAACTATTTCTGGCCTGATGCGGTGCGGAGCGCGTGTGTGGCCAAGAACAGAGCCTTGACTCGTGTGGGAGCAGACAAATGGGTGCCCTATGTGGAGTGGCTAGGAAGGAAGCCAAAGGTGGATATGCTTCGGGTGTTCGGGTGCATGTGCATGGCGCTCGTGCCTAAGCATCTTCGGCACAACAAGCTTGGTGCCAAGGCGGTGTGGGCCGTGCACTTGGGCATGGCTCAAAACAGCAAGGGATGGCTTCTTTGGGACCCATTCACCAAGAAGTTCTTGGTGAGCAGGGACTGCAAGTTCATGGAGAACTTCATGTACAAGGATTGGAAGGCGGAGAATGAGGCGAAGATAGGCGTGCGGTTTGGGGAGGTGAAGAGTTCCGGTTTGGAGCATGTGGAGCTGCCTTTGGAGCTGAGCAGCGGCAGCACAACCACAAGGCAATCCTCCCTTGTGAATGGGGGAGAGGAGGCCAATGATGCAGAGGAAGAAGAGGAGGAGGTGCAGCAAGTGAGCGAGCGTGCACCGTCACTCCCTTCCCGTACTACGAGTGCTCCACGGATTCGAGCCACACCGCAGCAACGCCAAGGCCTTCAAGTCCCTGCAGCTGAGGAGGAAGGAAGGGGGAAGAGGAGAGTTCAACCCCCTAATAGGCTGACCTATGATGCGCCGGGAAAGCAGGGCAGGACAGCCCTGGCCGGAGCGGCAATGATGGTCGGAGACGACGAGGAGAGTGACTACGAGGAGTGTGCCTTCGCGTTCTTCTCTCCGGTGGAGATGCCGGGAGAACCAGCAACTCTCAAGGAGGCTTTGGAGAGTAGTGATGCTGAGGAGTGGAAGAAGGCCATGGAGAGTGAGCTGAAGAGCATCGAGGAGAATGACACGTTTGAATTGGTGGAGCTACCGGAGGGGCGTACGGCGATAACGTCCAAGTGGCTCTTCAAAATCAAGTCGGATGCCGACGGCAAGATCGAGCGCTGCAAGTCTAGGCTTGTAGCCAAGGGGTACCAGCAGAAGGAGAAGGTGGACTTCAAGGAGCTGTTTGCCCCTGTGGTGAAGCCGACGACGCTGCGAACCCTATTCGCGGGAGCCGCCATCAAAGGATGGGTAGTAAAGCAAATGGACATCGTAACGGCATTCCTTAACGGCATCCTTGAGGAGGAGATTTTTATGGCGCAGCCAGAGGGGTTTGATGATGGTAGTGGCAGAGTGTGGAAGCTGAAGAAGGCCCTCTATGGGCTGAAGCAGGCCCCTAGGCAATGGTACATGAAGCTGCGCAAAGTGTTGGAGGGGATCGGCTTCCCTTTCCCTCTGGGTTCAAGTGTGTGAAGGGACCAGAGGAGGAGAGCGTTGGTGAAGAGGAGAGGCGCCGATTTCACTCGTTGGTGGGCAGCCTCATGTATGCGGCGGTAAACACCCGACCGGACGTCGCGTTTGCTACCAGGCAGCTGGCTAGGGTTGTGCAATGCCCTAATGAGGAGCAGGTAGCAGCTGGAATGAGGGTGGCCAAGTATCTTGGCCAAACACCGACCGTTGGGCTGCAATACTCTGCGGCGGCACAAAGGCGCCAAAAGGGCGCGGATGGTGTTGAACCCGGGCGTTTGTTCCTCACTGCCTACTCGGATGCTTCATATGCATCAGAACCAGAGGACATGACAAGTGTGGGAGGCTTCATATGCTGTGTTGGTGGAGGCCCAACTGCTTGGGAGAGCAAGAAGCAGGTTGACCAAGCTTTGAGCTCGGTGGAGTCCGAGTACATGGCACTCTTCCGTGCCGTACGGGAGATTGTGTGGCAGCGGCGTTTGTTGGCTGAATTGGGGGAGGAGCAGCAAGGACCTACCCCACTGTACTGTGACAGCCAGGGTGCCATTGCTCTTGCTAAGAACCCTGTGTTGCATGGACTCACGAAGCACATGAGGTTGAAGTGGCATTGGACGAGGAGCATGGTAACCGCGGGTGAAGTTGAGTTGCGCTACGTGAAGACCACGGGGCAGCCGGCTGACATGATGACCAAGAGGCTGGTGGAGCAGCAGCATTGGAAGTGTTGCAAGCTGGCTGGGATGGCTCTGAACTGAGAGAGCAACATATCCTAAGGCCAACAATCCGAGGGGGAGTTTGTTGGTGCAACCCTACGGTTTGCACTCGGCTTGTTGTCCGTGTGCGTGAATGTGTGTGTGTATGGAATGGTATGAGGGCATGGGATAATATATATTTCATGCTTATAATTGTGTGTGAATGTTGAGTCATGATGTCGAGTGTGTGTGTCGAGTCAATAGCGAGTTATCGCTAGACGCGTGTTACGCGGTCGTTTGTGTCTCGCGCGCGGTTTCTATTTTGTCGTGCGCGGTTTCTATTTTGTCCTGTGTCGAACGTTCGGCGTGTCGCAGGTGTGTGCAGCAGACCCATCAAGAACTCAAGGATGAGTTTGTGATGAAGAGCCCGAGCCTTGGTGTCAAGCCTCAAGTGATTTCGAAGCTCGCCAAAAAGGGTACACCTCAAGATATTGAAGATAGTTACATTACTTTGTGTAGTGTAACATTTCACTTGGTGTAGGCCCTAGTGAAGGGTAGTTTCGAGACCCTTCGTGGTTGGGGACAGTGTGGCACTGTTCCACATCACTGTACCTCGGCTCTTGGGGTTTGTAGGAGCTGGGAGTCATTCCCAACTCGTAACTCTTCCTATCTTGTGTTCTAAGACTATAGTGGCTGCCATAGTACCGTTCGTTCAAACCGACGCTGTGTCGTCAATTCTTTATCAAATCGTGCAATCCAAACTGCTAATTGTAGACGACGTGAAGACGCTCCAGATCCAATTTGAATCAAGTCATTTGCAGCTGTGACCAGAACGCTATCAACGTTTGAAGCCTCTGTGCAGAAATCCGTCTGTGCTCTCTATCTTTCGTTTTAGGCACATTCAAGCCTATTGTGACTATAACAGGGCGGTTGGAGGAGGAGGTGAGGGAGTGGGTGGAGGGGGCGTGCAAGGCGAGGGAGGAGGGCGAGTGGATGGTGGTGGTGGCCTGTGAGGACACGGGCGGTGGTATACCACCCGAGGAGATGCGGTGGGTGCTGGACCCACATGGTCTTGCTGGCCACTCGCCGCGCGACATGCACGGCAATGGCCAACATAAAGCCATGGTGAGTACAGCAGAGACGGCGTGGGGAGTGCGGGACACGGGCGGTGGTATACCACCCAAGGAGCTGCGGTTAGTGCTGGATCCACATGGTCTTGCCAGCCACTCGCCGCACGAACTGCACGGCAACGGGCAACATAAAGGCATGGTGAGTATGTGGTTTTTGTGAGGATACAGGCGGTGGTATCCCACCCGAGGAGCTGCGGTAGGTGCTGGGTCCATGGTCTTGCCGGCCACTCGCCACATGACATGCACGGCAACGGGCAACATAAAGTCATGGTGATTGGCTGGTATTTTAGTCGACTTAGCAACATATCATAGAGTCATTGTTTAGTCTCTGCTTCATTGATTCGGGCTTGTGTTGTTGTATATAATCATTTTCAACAATATCAACATCAGTAAATACCGAAACAATGGATGTGTTTGTGTGTGTGAGACCTTGAAATTGCCGTTGGAATTTAATTTGTGAATGCTTGGTCGTGATATGGCAGGAGAGAATACGGTCGCTGGGGAGGTCATCATCGTTGCAGCGCAATCGCAAGGCAGCTTCTGGCCCCCGCTGGACGCCCTACCTCGTTCGCTTCCTGCTCTCCACCTCCCTTGTGAGCTTCCAGCTCTCTATGAGATACCTTCGCTTTCTTGCTCTCAACCTCGCTTGTGAGTTCTCTTCGCCCTGTTTACTACGACAGCACCTTGATAGGGCTCAGGAGCACGATTATAACACACCAAATATTGCAGAAAACTATCAACTATAGCCAAAGGTATAGACAAGCATAGAAATCTTAGTCAGTTAATTGCATTCATGTGTTGTGCTCTCTGGAAGTGTCTCTATGTTTATATGTGTTGCATTCAAGAATGCACACATACCGTATAAACATAGGAAAGCGTCGACCCAAGACACACGCGGCTCATAACGTTTTCCGAGCTTGAGTTGTCGTTGACGCAAACTTTGGGGCCTTGGTTCAGCAAATGCTTATATACTAAAAATTCCGTAAATAACGCATTTCATGACAGAATCCCAACAACCAAGGGAATGTGATGCGCGTGCAAATTAAATTGGCCGCGGCACTTTGCTGCCGAGTGTTAATAGAAAACACAACTAGGACAATTCTTATTGGAACTCTCTTGATGCTGTCCTGGAACACTCTTTTGGGACACATGGATCTAAAGGTCGCAAGTTCGAATCTTGTGGGCACCAGAAAATGTGTTCTTGCAAAAACTGTCCATGGCAGCATTTTTTTCTAACACTCCCTACCCCGTTCGCTTCCTGGTTTCCAATCCAATCTCCCTACAAGATTATTTCTTCACGCTACTCCCCTCTCTCGTTGCAGGTGGCTGAGATGAGGGGAGACATGGCACTGCTGTCAGACGCCTCCACAGGCACCACCATTCTGCTGGCGCTGCCCATGGGGGGAGGAGAAAGCTCCGGCGGCAGTGGGAGTTGGGAGGGGAGTGGAAAAGAACCCGGGGATTCAGGGGGGGCAGGTAAGGAGCGTGTGGGGCGAGAGGCCAGGTCGCATGGAGGCACGGAGGGGCCACCCAGTGGTGCTGCTGCCTCGGTTCTGCCCCACGCTGCTGCCGCTGCAGCGCAACCAGCTTCGCGGGAGCGGCAGGCAGTAGGGTGTCAGTAGATCTGCACTGTGGATGCCCGATTGATCCTAGGGAAGGGTTACAGGCTCGTTGTCCTGGGGGGTTATGGGCGCACTGACCCGCTACTTAACAAGCCATTTTATCCCAATGGTCTAATGGTTGGGATTTTGACATGGTATCAGAGCGGTCTCGGGTTCGAATCCTAGTGTATGCACATGTAGGCTGTTGCCGCTGTGCTCAGTCCTGGGCCTCCCTGTGTGGGGGGGTGTCAGTAGATCTGCACTGTGGATGTCCGATTGATCCTAGGGAAGGGTTACATGCTCGTTGTCCTGGGGGGTTATGGGCGCACTGACCCGCTACTTAACAAGTCATTTTATCCCAATGGTCTAGTAGTTGGGATTCTGACAACTATACGGTATCCTAAAGCTTCACAGCAAAGCTCCCAATGTACACACAACAAATGCTAGTATGGTGATGCTATAGTACTATTTTGAAATAGAGAAATGCTTTCTAAATGCAGAATAGAGTGCAAATCAAATTAGACAACAAACAGAAAAACCAAATATACTTATACGTATTGATACGGTGAAAGTGAATGTTGAAATAACTAGGAGCTTTATACAAGCCCTGCAGCAGAGAATGCTGCTGCAAGTTCCCGTGCCACGATCGGCTTCCTCACTACTCCATCCATCCCTGCCTCCATGCACGCTCTCTTGATCCCTGCATCCTAGTCCGCTGACGGAGCAATAATGCAAAGCCGCTGCCTAGAGGCACACGTTACCGTGCTTGCGTCATCTACCCTAAACCCGAAACTTCTATCTGATCCTTCTCGTATCTCTCCACTCGCTTCCACTTTCATATGCTGTGCCTTTTCCATAACCCACCAGGACAACGAACCTGTAACCTTTCCCTATGATCAATCGGGGATCACCAGTGGATCTCCGACACCCCCCCGCACTGGGATGCCCGAAGTGCACACACTGGGATTCGAACCCGAGACCTTCGCTCTGATACCATGTCAGAATCCCAACCACTAGACAATTGGGATAAAATGGCTTGTTAAGAAGCGGGTCAGTGCGTTCATAATCCCCCAGGACAACGAGCCTGTAACCCTTCCCTATGATCAATCGGGGATCATCAGTGGACCTCTGACAATAGTGCCGGTTATAATACCCGAGGGACTCTCTACAAATGCTTAAAAATATGCTTTGGTGGACATTATGGCGCCAGCAATTTTTGAAGACCCGGGGTACACTTATTTATCAGTTATCAATATGATATTCAGAGTGTACAACTCAATTTGGGGCGAGGGGGTCTTATATTCGTAACGAACTCGCGCAAATTTTGCGCGTGCGGGGCGTCAGATCTGTTGAGATAATGTCGAGACTTATGCACTTCAAGGAATTCGTATAGTTAGTACAGTAAAAGTACCGATAGACTGACGTCAGCAAAGCGCTACGCGCCTTAGGATGACGTCATCAGTAGCTGTAGGTATCGCGAATAGTCACGTACCTTTTCAGAACAGGAATAGCGCGAATAAATACAGCACAGTAGGCAAACAGGTACTTTAGTCTAGTTATATATTCTGTATGCTTGTCATTTTATAATATACTTGTTTTCAGAGATATTGATCCTGTTACAAGTCACTCATATAAAGACTTCCACTGCTACAGGAAGCTACTATCCTAAGACTACGATCCTATTCAAACAGTTCAGATTCTAACATGGTATGAGAGCAACTTAGGATTAAAACAGCTTCCATCTGCCTATTCTACAACTATGTCTGGATCTCCAAGGTCCAACAATGGCTCTTCTGTTACGAGCCCATCACGCCCAACTGCGTCTCCAGCTGCTGATAATTCACATCTGCAGCAACAACAACAACAACAACAACAACAACAACAACAACAACAACAACAACAACAACAACAACAACAACAACAACAACAACAATATCAGCAACAACCGATGTACGGCATGCCATTGAGCAGTCAGCCCGTACACACAACTACAGCAGCGGCATCATCGACAGCAGCCGCCACGACAGCAGCATCAGCAGCCTCAACAGCTGCAGCTGCAGTCCCTGGTTCTTCAAGTCAACCGGGACAACAGTCTAACTTCGTTCCGACTGGACCTTACCAATATCAAGGTGCTTACCAACCAGCAAATCTTCAACAACGTGTTAATGCTGCCGTCTTGTCGCTTAACCAGATGTTTCCAACTCCGATGAGCATTGATGGCTCCAGTTATCAGCGTGGTCAGATGCCACAAGGAAGTGATGGGTCGAACAACTCTTTCTCCTTTGGTCCTGCTGGACAAGGACAACAAACACAACAAGGGTCACAAGCGCCATCACTCTATCAGCTACAATCAGCTGACGGTACCGGAAGTTATATTCCTGCTTCTGCAAATCCTACAAAAATCAAAACGACAATGCCTTTTAACGGTCAAGATTTTTATACCTGGAGCTTTGAGTTTGAGCTTCTTGTTCAGACCGCGGGGTTCTGGCAGCTGTATGACGGCACGGCACCATTTCCATCACACGGGTCACCACTTCAACAAGCCACTTTTCGATCGGCGTCGCTGACTGCATACACAGTTCTCGTTCGTAATCTGACTCCGACTGAACAGCTCGGAATTCGTTCTTTTCGTAACAGTGTCGCTCCCGCTGAAGCAGCTTGGTTATACCTGCAAGGGGTTCACATGGCAAAAGATACTGTCAACCAGAGTAAAATTTTGACGCAGCTGTCAAATATACAGATGATAAACGGCGAGAAGGTGACGCAGTATATTAACCGCGCTCGAAATCTGCGCGATCAACTTCAGAAGTGTGGAGGGTACTTCCCCGACGCTATGTTCCACACGGTGCTACTTGCGGGTCTTGGACCAGAATGGTGACAGTGTCGCTCTATACTTCGGATGCAAGCACAGTTGTCCGAGGGGGCACTCTGTGCCGCTCTCATCGCCGAGCAGCAGGATATGGATCTGCACAACGCTCGAGGAGGGAAAAAGATGGTAAACAATACAGTCAGTTTTTATTCTAATCCACGTCACAAGCCCGTTTGTTCTTTTTGTCGAAAACCAGGACACACTATTGATACCTGCTGGTCGAAAGACAAACCATCTTGGAAGCGGTCTGCTTCGAAACATAATAAAGATTCTTCAAGTGAAGCAGAGAAGCCGGAAGCAGAGAAGCCGGACGCTGAGAAGCAGAATACTGCGAAGCTGAACTCTGCGAAGCCGACTACTGCACCTGCCAAGACACAAACAAAAGCAGTTATTAATTGCATGACATCAGTGTCAACGGTTTATGATCCTGATGCTGAAGAGCGGATTCACAACCGGTTCAACAACGAACTCAACACACCGATTCCACCTGAGGTCTATGCAAATCTTGCACATACCATTGCAGGTCCCAATACTTGGTACCTCGACAGTTGCTGCGGTCAGCACATGTGTTCGTCAGAGACGCGTTTCATCGTGAATCAACGCCGTCTGGAGAATCCCGTTGTCGTCACGGTCGCCAATAACCAACGACTTACAGCTCACTGGATGGGAAGTATTGTTCTGGACTCAGTTGAAGAAGACTTCAGTCTTCACCTGAACGAAGTTCTTCTGGTCCCTCGGCTTGGCTTCAACCTCATGTCATCTGCACAGCTCATGAAGAACGGGATTATACTTCTCGGTGAACCTGGAAAATTCACTCTGAAATACGGTGAAAAGAAACTTGGCACGGCAGTTGAGCAAAACGGTGTTTTCGTTTTGAACTTCATACCTGAGCGTACTACTGCTGACTCTGATAACATTCTCTCGCTTGGTCCTTGGGAGCATCGTGATGATATTGATTATACCGACGATACAGTTCCACGTGAGGGAGTTGTCCCGACGTCTTCAACCACGGTTGCCGCCGTCATGTTGACCTTTGACGATCAAGGCTTGAATGATGTTGAGAACTCTCGGGAGTACATGGCTGCAGTTGAAGGTTGGGGTGATCCGACGAACATGCCGACTGATGACGGCATCTGGGGGGCTGACGAACCTGATGAAACAACTTGGGGCGAGACACCTGCTGAACGCGATGCTCGTCTTCTCGCTGAAGCTGAACAACGCGTCGTTGAAATGGAGATTCTTGACTCGGGTCGTCTCGTTGGAGTTGAACCTGTACCTGCAGCATCCGATCAAGAAAGCGGCGAGTTAGTACTTGCTCCAGGCGAGTACGTGGATGTTGAGGTTCGTGTTCCACCACCAAATCTTACTCGTTACGTCGCACCTGCTTTCGATCAGATCCGCTCCGATGGTCATCAGCTTCTGTTGTCGTTCTTCGCTAACGCCGGGTACTATCTGCGCGCACAAGGTCACAAAGCCACGGGAGAAACATGGCATAAACGACTTGGTCATCCGTCGCAGTTTACGCTAAAAAACACGATCAAGGCTGCAGTGCTTGACAAAAATTCGTTACTCTTACCGAGCGGTCTCGAACTGAAGCCGGTGAATCGCCCGGCACCCTGCACCATCTACCCTGCGGCAAACCTACCGCACGAGCCGTTCCCGACTCATTTCCGCACCTGGCTTCCTCTCGCCGAACGAGAGTCTGATACTAAGCTCAAGGCGTTTCAGTGTGACGGCGCCGGCGAGTATCGCAGTACTGAGTTCACGGCCTATCTGCAAAAACGCGGGATAAGACGACTTTTTTCGTTGCCTCACGCTCATCAGCAGAGTGGCGTAGCAGAGAGGCTCAACAGGACTCTGCAAGAGAAGATGCGAGCCCTTCTTGCCCAGGCTCAACTCGGCCCACTCTACTGGCCTTTCGCCATGGACCATGCAAGGCTGTTGCACAATCTTCTTTCGTCCTCGGCCCTGCCCAACAACGCATCACCCCACTTGCTGTGGACGGGCAAGTTGGGTACCACTAAATTACTTCGTGTTTTCGGGTGTGTTGTTCAGTACCGTCCTCCTACCGCTCCGCTCGGGAAGTTCGATCAGCGTGCTAAGTGGGGACTACATCTCGGCATTGAAAAACAATATTTTGCCTGGCGTATCATGGATTACCGCAGCCGTCTTCTTGTTCCTGCTCGCGACTGTATTTTCTACGAGAATCTGACGCTGCCCGTCTTCGAACAGCATCTTGCCATGCAGCAAAACCCTGCCACGCTTTTCCACGGTGTTCGTTCGTTTGCTAACGCCGATGTCGAAATTGCTGCCAGCGAAGAACCTGACTCTGACGGTGCACGTGAAGCTGCTCCCGACCCACCTGCCCCCGTCATGTCATCTGGAATTCCGGAGTTTATTCCTCTTGCTGACGCGGCACCTGAGGATGTCCGCGAAGTTCATCATACTTACCTCGTGGATGAACAACGCCAACCAATGCCGGTGGTTTCCGATAGCAGCATCCGTGTCAACCCTGACGAAATTGGGGGGGCAAGTGGAGACCAGAATGATTCTGACAATTTCGCAGGTCGTCCCGACGATAATCCACATTATCAGACCGGACTGCAAATTCTGGGACTCGCAGCAGCGGTACAGCACAGTTCTAAAGTAAATTTGGAGCCGAAAACTGCCCGACAAGCTCTCTCAGGGCCTCATCGCGAAAAATGGCGTATAGCGATGGATCGCGAACTGGCTGCCCTGGAGAAAAGGGGAACTTGGGATCTTATACCCATTGAAAAAACGGTAAACAAAAATGTTCTTACCGGTAAGTGAGTCTTCAGGGTGAAGACTAAAGCGGATGGTACTTACGAGAAACACAAGGCACGATGGGTGGTTCGTGGTTTTGATCAGACTCATGGGATCGACTACACACTTACCTTCGCCCCGGTCAGTCGACATACGAGTGTTCGACTTGTTCTTTGCGAAGCAGCCGCGAATAATTTTCCACTTCGACAAATTGATGTTTCCAACGCCTTTCTGTACGCTGACGTCGATGCCGAAATCTACGTCGAATATCCGCACACATATCCGACAAATCCGCCAAGTGTCTGCAAGCTCAAGAAATCACAGTATGGCATCAAACAAGCACCGCGACTGTGGCAGCAGCATTTGAACAGGAAGCTGACGGAGGTTGGGTTTCGACAACTGCCGCACGATCCCGGGATGTACCGGCTAGACGACAAGGGGAGCTATGCGTTGTTAGTGGCTTACGTGGACGACATCCTCTACGTCAGCTCGTCTACTTCGCTGGGAGATCGTATCGAAGCCGATCTGAAGAAGTCACTTGACTTCACCATTTCCACCAAAGTAACTCAATTTCTGGGGTTAAACGTTTCGCGAACTTCTTCCGCTATTCATCTCACGGCTTCGAAGTATGCGGAGTCACTCGCTAAGCGTTTCAACATTTCCACGGATTTCGTTGCTACACCTTATCGGTCTACACTCACTGGGCACGTTCCCAATCTGAAAAATTTGTCAGCAGCTGGTCTTCAACTGTATCAGCAGCAGCTGGGATGTCTTCTTTTCGCAGCAGTCACTTGTCGCCCTGATCTTGCCTACGTCGCAAGTCACCTTGCGCAGTTTTTACGCTGCCCGAAAGAAGAACACTCTCTCGACTTACAGCGTGCGCTACGCTACTTCGTCTCTACACCAACACTCGGATTGATTTTCAATGCTGGGAAGCTGACCGACAAAATGTACCTCAGCGGGTACGTTGACGCAGACCACGCTGGCGACACGTCAGATCGACGGTCACGCACGGGTTATATTTTCCGTCTCGAGCCGATTGGTCCGATTTCCTGGAATTCCTCGAAACAGGAACTGGTGTCACTTTCATCGGCTGAAGCAGAATTCATCGCCGCTTGTGCTGCAACTCGCGAAGGTCTGTACCTGCAGGAGTTACTTGACGAAGCAAAATTCGTCACGCCGAATCAGTTCACGTTGCAGTGCGACAACCAGAGTGCAATTACCATCGCCAACAAGCCTGGTTTCGTCAATCGCACGAATCATATTTCGCTGCGTTACTTCTTCGTAAAAGACGCGATCGACAAGGGGAGAATGCGCCTTGTCTACTGCCCCACCAGCGACATGGCCGCTGATTCGCTTACTAAGAAGCTGACACGTCAGAAATTTCATCACTGCAACCAGCTCAGTGGCATTTCTGAGTCAACAGGGTGACTACACCGAACTCCTAGAAGTGAAGGGGAGTGTTGAGATAATGTCGAGACTTATGCACTTCAAGGTATAGTTAGTACAGTAAAAGTACCGATAGACTGACGTCAGCAAAGCGCTACGCGCCTTAGGATGACGTCAGGCCCTCAGATATCAGCGTAAAACACGCTGATTACGCTGATTTTGTAGCTGTGATTTTCGTTTTCCCTGAAAATTCAGCATATGCCTCAATTTTGCACTGAAATTTCAGTATAACCTACGTTGCCACACTGACCATTTTGCGTGTTGCTGTACAAGTAACACTGACGAATCAGTATAGTGACGTGAGTCACACTGAAACGGAGTTGACTGCGCGTGTGTGTGGGGGGGGAGGGGGGGGGGGGGGGGGGGAGGGGGGATGATAGGGTACGCGTGTCCTATCTGTACCTTCCCGTGATTCCTGACACCCCACCCACACGCTTGGCATTTTTTCGCATGCACTGCACAGATATCAGGTGCGCGCCGCTGGAACCTATCACAGCAACAACACCACACACCTTGTACTGGGGTTTCAGCTATAGTTTTTTTTTTTTACACTGTTGGTTCAGTTTACTTATGATTTTTACACTGGCAAAATCAGTATAAAAAAAACAGTGAACGCTGATTTGGACACCTCATTGGCCGGGGCACGCTGATCCATCAGCATACCCTCAAACCAATCTGAGGGCCTGGATGACGTCATCAGTAGCTGTAGGTATCGCGAATAGTCACGTACCTTTTCAGAACAGGAATAGCGCGAATAAATACAGCACAGTAGGCGAACAGGTTCTTTAGTCTAGTTATATATTCTGTATGCTTGTCATTTTATAATATACTTGTTTTCAGAGATATTGATCCTGTTACAAGTCACTCATATAAAGACTTCCACTGCTACAGGAAGCTACTATCCTAAGACTACAATCCTATTCAAACAGTTCAGATTCTAACAAGATCTGTGTCAGAAATCAAGTCTGACACAAATGAAATTTCAGAATTCGAGTCTGACACAAAAAGCGTGTCAGGATTCGAATTTATACCAGTAAAAGCTGACGCACAATAGAAATAATAACTACTGTATACAGAAAAGGGGGGTCTTATGATGATTAAGGGCAAAAGGGAGGTCCTCACAAAACCTGCCACAATAAGAGTCCCCCTACCCATTCAAGAGTCCCGGGGGACCTTCTTACCGGCGGGTCTTATAGCCGGCACTATACGGTACAGAGAAAATTTTGCTTGGTATTGTAGCATGCCAAGGCAGCAAAATATCTCATACTACCAGATTTCCCTCGCACCACATGTGATGATTGAAGTAGCTAACCTGGTACTCTGGGCCATGTGCACACTTCGGTCAGTGGTTAGGAAAGATCCAGCTTATTACCAAGTAGTATGTATTAATACCCTCTACACCCTCTATCCACCGGTAAACACACACACACCTGTTCCCTGGTCAATAAATTATGAGCTACTTTCTCTCCTGCCAGTCTATGTCTTATCCGTGCTTGTGCTTGTGCTCATGCTTCTGAACTTCGACACTTCCGGCGGCCGCGGCATGTCCGTTGAATTCGCAGCAGCCCGCGCCTCCACCTCCGTATACTCAGGATACTTCCTGCCACAGCAGCAGATGCGCAGCTTCTGGGACCCGCGCTGAGTTTGCCGGTAGAGGATGAAGAAGGGCGTGCAGATTATGAGTCCGGCGGCTACGACCAGGACGATGAAGGTGAGGATGCCCCACGGCCCGATGCTCTTGTCGCTGCAGTTGGTCTTTGAAACGTCCTTCCACAGACACGTGTAGTCGTAGCCGCCAGAGGGAGGGGAGGGAGGGGGCGGAGGGGGGACCGCCGCTGGGGAAGAGGCAAGCGGATGAGGAGGGAGAAGGGAGAAGGGAAAATGGGAAGGGGCAAGGGGTGAGGAAGGGCGTTGAGATCATGATCCCGGCGGCCCCGAGAGGATGCCCCACGGCCCGATGCTCTTGTCGCTGCAGTTGGTCTTTGAAACGTCCTTCCACAGACACGTGTAGTCGTAGCCCCCAGAGGGAGGGGAGGGTGGGGGCGGAGGGGGGACCGCAGCTGGGGAAGGGGCAACAGATGAACGGAGGAGAATGGTGAGGAGAGGTGAGGATTCGAAACGTCCTTCCACAGACACGTGTAGTCGTAGCCGCCCGAGGGAGGGGAGGGAGGGGGCGGAGGGGGGACCGCGGCTGCATGTGTGGGAAAAGGTGCAGAGAGAGAGGTATAGAGAGGTGAAGAGAGATGAGGATGAAGGACATCCTTCCACAGACACGTGTAGTCGTAGCCGCCCGAGGGAGGGGGTGGAGGGGGGACCGCAGCTGGGGATTGGGCAAGCGGATGTTGGGAGGAAGGGGGAAGAGAGAAGGGAAAAGGGGAAGGGAGAAGGGAGAAGGGAAAATGGGAAGGGAGACGGGAAAAGGGGATGGGGCAGCAGATGAGGACGGGTGTTGAGATGATGAGCCCGGCGGCTACCAGCAGCACGATGAAGGTGAGGATGCCCCACGGCCCGACGGGGGAAAGGGAGAAGGGAGGAGGGATTGATGCCTCATTGCTCACATGCAGCACGTTTGAATGCCAAGGCTGGCCTCTAACCCCCCACAACCGCCCTCAACGCCTCTCAACCCCCAATACCCCCCTTAGGGGGATGGGATCACGTGTAGGGGGGTAAGCTCAGGGGCTGGAGAAAGATGAGCTCATGGGAGAGGGGAGTGGGGGGTGACGTCATGGGGGGAGAATGGTATGAGAAATGGGTGGGGAGAGGGGGGCGCCTGTCCCCGCCTGCCGTCCGCCTGTCGCTCGTCTGTAGCTCGACTGTCGCCCGCCTGTCGCTCGAACATCCTCCACCTATCGCTCGTCCGTCACTCGCCTGTCGTTCGGATGTCGCCCGCCTGCCACCCGCCAGTCCTAGCCCATACCGTCACCCGCCGCTCCCCGTACACCTGCGGCCATTTACGCCTACATTGCCTGCTCAAAGATCTTCCCTCCAGGTCGATGCCTCTCCTCCGAGTTGAATTTTGAGTCGACTCAAAAGTCAACTTGCTCCCCGTACACCTGCGGCCATTTACGCCTACATACATCACTGGTTTAAATATCATCCCTTCAGGCCGATACCTCTCCTCCGCCTCTCGCTAATCGCCAGTGCATCCCCATTCCTCCACCTGCGGCGTTATGTACACCTGGGGCCTATTTTCACCTACCTATTGCCCGCATGTCGCTCGCCTATCGTTCGCCGGTCGCTCGCCTGTCTCTCGCCTGTCGCTCGCCTAACGCTCGCCTATCGCTCGCCTGTCGCTCGACTATCACTCGCCTGTCGCTCGCCTGTCTTTCGACTGCCCGCCTGTCGCTCGCCTTACGTTCGCCTGTATGCTCGCCCATCGCCCCTCCCCATCGCTCACCTGGCGGTGTATTGTCGAGGGAGCGAGCGGAGGCGAGAGGGGAGACGGCGAGCAGCGCGAGGCAGAGGAGAGCGAGGGAGTGAAGATCGAGGGAGTGAAGCGCGCCGAGGGCCAGCGCCAGCGGTGCGCGGAGCGGTCGTCTGGAGGCGAGGGCGCTTCGAGAGGGACTCGAGGCGGCGACAGCTAAATCGGAGCGGAATCGGACGGTGGAGTTGGCGCGATAATGCGGAGCCATCTCTACGTTTCCGCTCTTCTCCAGGCGTGGTTGAATCATAATTGTAAACGCAAACCGCCGGAAAGTAGGCAATGATGGGGAGACTACTTTGATATAGGCACCAAAGAGCGCCGCGTAGTTGGTTGTTTGTGGGGAGCGATGGGCGTGGGGTGCTGGAATTGGGTGGGAAGTGGCACTAATGGCACGAGAAGTGGTTAGGATGGGACTTCGTGGTTTGGTTGGAGGGACTTACGTTCTTTGGGTGAAAATTACAAGTTTCTCAGGTGCGATGCGAATCTTGGGGACTGGCACCTGTATGTTCTCTCAGGTGCGATTCTGATCAATATATAGTGAAGTAGCCAGTTTACAACGCGGACGCCCACGATAAACGACAGACTGGTTCGAGGGGTTGGGCGGGGAAATTGTCAAAGAATGGGTTGGTTGTTCGGGCTAGAAATGGACCAATACCTGGTTCGACAGCCATCAGGTTACATATCAAACACGCACCGACGGGAAACCCGGTTTCTCGCTCAAATCGCCCGATTTCGTCGTCGTGCTTCGAGACTGAGGGCGTATCCAGGTTCGGGTAAGGGCACTGTTCCGATCATGCGCGATTTGCGGATGACTCAAACAACACAAAACACCACTTTGGATCCAGTGCCTTCATGCGACCCCCAAACTGGCGCGTGGGTTTTCCCGCCTAAAATTCGGGCCCCACAACAGTCGCATCCAATTGAGACGCGCCATTCCATGACACACGAACTCCCCAATCTGGTTGAGCGACACTCACCCCACCCTCAACTCCGTCAAAATTCCCGATGGGAAGAGTTACATGCAGATCTGTGCGGCTCGAGATCCCAACCCAACCAAACACCCCTCTTGCAACATCCCCACGCAAGGGTTTCGAGCACTTGGGCAATCAGCACAAGCATGAGCAAACAGATCTCCCTCACAAGTGTTCCCGAGCTTCCACACCAGCCCGCTATCTACGTTTTTAGCAATGCCTCCACGCCGAAGCGCACGCGGCAAGGGAAAGGAGAAACCCCGCGACGATGAACCGATGGAAGACCCCCCGTATGTCGCATGGATGAAGGAGCGGCAAAAGCAGGGGAAGCCGTCCCCTTCCATCAAGCGTATTGCAAAGGCAAAGCGCGACTCTGCTGGCGCCAGCACTAGCAGCGGTCCTGGGCATGACGACGACGAAACTGGGGGCGACACGGACGTCAGCGACGACAAGCTTGAGGAGATCGTAACGGAATCGGACAGTGATGCCGATTCCGACAACTACAAGGCCTGCAGTGACGACGAAGAGGAAGATTCGGACGGTGCCGAAGTAGGAAGCGGTGACGACCGCAGCACACGTCGATCGAAGAAGGAGAAGCGCCCGCCGGCGAAGCGCAACAAGCGAGTGTGGTCGGACGCAGAGCTGACATCACTCGCGGCCGCTCGTTGGAACACGAAGGACAACCTGAAGGCTGTCAAACATATATGATATAGCCTGTGTAGGCTGTAGTGGGGTAGACATTATGGGGTACAGCTTTTCTAGGTTTTCACACTTGTACCCATCTCCTTTCTAGTCGACCTCATTCCCTCGTGTTGGAGGTGGCGTGTGTTGGAAGCAAGGTGGTGGTGGGGCGATTGATATGCCCCCAACCCACCGAATGTGTTGCTTCCGAATGTGTTCACTGCAGGTCTCGAGAAGGTGCAGGTTGACTTCGAGAGACTTGCATTTCGGTGCCACATGGCAGCACAAGAAGAATCGAGACTCAGGGAGAATTCGATTCGGTGAAATTCGAGACTCGAATTTCACCCCTTCGAAATGTTACTCGAACATTCGAGTGTACCGCAGTTCGAGGTTACATGTGCGGTTCGATGTTGATTGCATGCTATAAAACTAGTAGCTTTGTATGCATGTTTCATACTGGAAAACGTGAATCACTTTGTACACAGTGCATTCGACAACAAATTCCAGAGAGTTTCCAATCCTTCAACATAGAGCATAGCTTTCACGTTAGTAGCCATATCTCGCTCGATACTTAGGCGATCGAGGTGATCTACGGCTCGTTGGAAAGCTAACAAAGTGCTCTACTGATTAGAACAATTCCCAGTTCCTGCAAAGTAGAGGAGAGTACTCTACAACACCTCGTACATTTCTCACATAGTATAGAGCGGGTTCCCTAGTGGGACCGTTTTTTTTAGGGCCCACCACTTATTTTTTTTTTCTGCCCTGCCCGAAGCGCGCTCCTTGCCCTGTCGCGCGCCTCGCGCCTGCCTTACCTGCACCCCGTGCGCCTGCCCTGCCGTCGCGGCCCTGCCTAGAGCCGTCGCAGCCCTGCCGTCGCGGCCCCTGCCGTCGCGCCCCCCCTGCCGTCGCGGCCCCTACCGTCGCGGCCCCTGCCGTCGCGGCCCCTGCTGTCGCGGCCCCTGCCGTCGTGGCCCCTTGCCGTCGCGGCCCCTGCCGTCGAGGCCCCTGCTGTCGCGGCCCTGCCGCCCTGCTGACGCGGCTCCGCCGCCCTCCAGTCGCGGCCGTGACTTCCGCCATCGCGGCCCTGCCCTGCCGTCGCGGCTCTGCCGTCCTGCCGTCGCGGCCCTGCCTCCCTGCCGTAGCGGCCCTGCCTGGAGCCGTCGCGGCCCTGCCGCCCTGCTGTCGCGGCCCCGCCTGAAGCTGTCGCGGCCCTGCTCGGCCGCTGTCGCGGCCCTGCTCGGCCGCTGTCGCGGCCCTGCCTGCAGCTGCTGCAGCCCTTCCTACAGCCGCAGTCGCGGCCCTGCCTACTGCCACTGTTGCGGCCCTGCCTACCGCCGCCGTTGGCGGCCCTACCCTGGTAAGCGCACCGCCGCACCCGCGCTGCCCTTGCGAGCCGCGCCGCCCTGCCAAGTCGCACTGCTCCTGCTGCTACTAATGCTGCTAGGCTACTGCTACTGCTCCTGCTGTTATGGCTAGCCCTAATGTCCTTACCTTCGATGCTGAGGGTCGAGCGGTCGTTCTTGAGGTCTGGGTCGATGATCTGCAGCTTTTTCTGCAGTGTGACTCTAAGGACGGAGTCTCACTGTTCGACCACACGTCCGGCGTCGCTGTTGCCCCTGCTGCCGATGCTGACAGTACAGTTCGCCCACAGTGGACCACACGCGATGGTGCTGCTCGTCTAGCTGTCCGTAGTCACTTGCCGTCTGCTGAGCGCGCGCACTTTAGCCAGTACAAGACCGCTAGGACTCTGTACGACGCTGTTGTTGCGCGCTACTCCTCCCCTGCCACTGCTGCCCTTAGCCGCCTCATGTTGCCGTACATGTTCCCTGACCTAGCTGCTTTTGCCACGGTCGCTGACCTCATTACGCACCTCCGCACTAGTGACACCCGCTACCGCACTGCGCTTCCTGCCGAGTTCTGCGCCGCGAACCCCCCCCCTATGTACATCACTCTCTACTACCTCGTCACCCGGCTCCCTGACTCTCTTCGCTCGGTCAGGGACCACTTCCTCTCCCTTTGCCCCACCACGCTCACCGTTGACCTCCTTGAGGATCGCCTCCTTGCAGCAGAAAAGAGTATAGTCGCTGTAGGAGCCTCTCGTGGTGACCCTCGTGCCCCTTTCTTTGAGGGGTGCTCCCTCGTCCCTCTTTTGCCCTCTGTTGCCTCTGCTGCTGCTGTCAACCTCGTTGGCACCGAGTCGGTCGGAGCTGCGTCTGCTCCTAGTGGGAGGCGCCGCAGCGGCAGGAGCAAGGGGGGCAAGGGTGCTGGAGGGGATGGCGGGGGCGGCGGTGGTGGCGGTGGAGGCGGTGGAGGGGGTGGGGGTGGAGGTGGGGGTGGTGGCGGGAGTGGGGGCTTTGGTAGCGGTGGTGGAGGTGGAGGCGGCGGAGGCAGCGGCAATGGGGGTGAGGTGGCGGCGGCGGAGGCGGTGGGGGTGGCGCCGGCGGTGGTGCTGGTCGGGGTGGCGCTGTGCAGCGGGGAGGCTTTGGCGGTGGCCAGCGCCATCAGCAGTAGCGCCCTCGTGTGACCCTGTCGCCCCAGCAGCTTCGTGAGTGGTACGCTGGGCGTGGGAGGTCTGGGGGTGCTGGTCCCTGCGCTTACGTTCTCCGCACCGGCGACCGCAGTGGAGAGACGTGCAGCGGCCCGCACACCACGCTCCGCTATTTCGGCCGCCTAACTGACGCCTGGCGTACACAGTTTCCTGACGCCACTGAGATCCCTCGCTGGGGTGATCTGCTTAAGTCGGGGGTTGCTATCTTTGATCTTGATTATGATGCTATCCTTGCTGCTATGTATGCTGTGTCTATTAGTGCTGAGGGTGACTGTTACCTGTGTGTTCCACCCGACCCGGGCATTGAGGCTACTGCTCTAGGTGCTAGTGAGTCTGCTGCTCCAGGTGCTGGTGAGGCTGCTCTCTCAGGTACCGCGTCGGCTCAGGTCTTGCACACTTTCACCCTTGACTCGGGTGCTTCCTGCTCCTTCTTTCGCGACTGCACCACACTCTCGCCGCTCGGTCGGCCGGTGGCAGTCTCTCTGGCTGACCCCTCTGGGGCTCCGGTCCTTGCACACTCCTCCACGGTTCTGCCGTGTCCGGCGGTCCCGTCTGGCTCTTTGTCTGGCCTCCACCTCCCCTCGTTCTCCACGAAATCGGTGAGTGGAGCTGACCTTCAGGATGCGTGGGTTGACCAGTTCACTCCTAGAGGTCAGCGGGTGACCCACTGTTCGTGTACTCGGACGGGCCGGCACCTGGCCACATTCACTCGTCAGCCTGGGTCGAGCCTGTACACCCTGACTACAGTGCCTCCTCCGGTTGCTGAGTCTGGTCAGGTAGCCGCGTCGAGTCAAATGTTTGCTGCAGCGTCCCGGTCTGGTCCTGAGTCTGCCCCCTGCTCGTGTCGCCTCCTGTCTCACCAGACTCTCCTCTGGCACCACCGCCTTGGTCACCCCTCCTTGCCTCGTCTCCGAGGCATGGCCTCCCGTGTCCTTGTCACTAGTCTTCCCCGGTCTCTCCCTCCCCTCCCCCGGGGCCTGCCCCTACCTGCGTTCCTTGCGTCGAGGG